CTTATCCATACTATCGAGGGGTTAGACTAATACTTGTCCCGTACAAGGTCCTTTCAATTGTGTTGTGTCAAAAGTTGAAGCAACATGCCAACTCGCTGATTGGACCTTATCAATGCGGTTTTTGACGTGGTCGCTCCACCATTGATCAGATATTCAAACTGCGACAAATCCTGCAAAAGCCCACGAACATAACATCGACACCACCTTTTTGTGGATTATAAATCAGCTTTCAATATCTCCATAAGTAATCGAATTTAAGCGTTTACGCAGCGGTACCCCTGCAAAGTTTACATGACTCTGCAGAAATACGTTTAGCAATACTTGTAGTTCCGTCAAAGTGGGGTTGAGTCTCTCCGAACTTTTGATACCGTGCGAAGCTTTTGACATGGTTACGCCTTATTATGTGATCTTTTCAATTTCGAAATCTACCTAAACACAGCCGTAACAAACAAGAATGATGTAAGCCTGAAGATCAGACTTAAAATCACCATTGCTAATAGGTGCTACTATGGGTTCAGTAGGCAATTGGGATGTAGTGCTCTCTCTCCACCAACAAAACTTACGCTCTATAGATCGTTCATTCTACCTGTGCATCTGTATGGCGCAGGAGCAGAATGATGAAGCAGAACTAGGAATGCTGCGAGAAAAATGTTATTTGGAATATCTTTGGCCCTCTACGAGATGGCGACAACTGCCGCTTACAAATGAACCACTAATTGTACGAAATTTATCACAACACTGATATAATCCAACGAATTACTATCCAGTGGCTTCTCTCGCTTGGTGATGTCGTGAGAATGGATGAAGATGTTCGAGATTGGAGGACATGCTGGAGAAACTTGCTACTTATGGCTAAATAAGTAAGTAAGTAGCCGGAAACATATTCATATCTCAATTGACATAAAGGAGCTGTTTGTTTTTTTGAAACAATTTTATTGAACAAAATCCACTTTTTCCATTTATAATTACTGAAGTATAGTTTTGAGTTCATCTTTTACGATTGCTTAGATTTGATTTCTTAGGTAAGTTTTTATCAAATTTTTGAGTGTGTTGCTTCAACAGTAATGGTTGTCTGTGGTTAATTGTTGTAGTACATGGTTTATGTAATATAATTGTCAGTAGTTATATGCTGGTAGTTCGACTGAGAAAGACATACTAAGACAATACGAAATGTCTAAGCAAGTTTTGTATTATGTTACTTGATAGATCAAAACGTACTGAATTATAAATGATTTAAAAGTTTTAGAGCGCATAACTTAAGTTAGCTTCTTTTAATAAATGTGTGTGCTAAACATTTGAAATTAAATATAAATTTTTATTATAGAAAGAAATATGAAAAATTTAAGGAATATCAACAGTAGGCATTTAGTTTTCTTCTTTATCGAAACAAGATAAAAATAACAATGTTGGTTTACACAGATGAAGAATTTGGGATGCTGCAAATCCGGTAATACAGAATAAACGGAAACGTTAATTCAAATATGATAAATATAACCATTATAGCTAATTTAATTGTTTAAAGATTATAATAAAAATATAAAATTTCATAATTCCAATTGCGATTATAAAGAGAGAATGTAGATACATATATTGTATTGATAGATTTAATCAATCGATGTACTTTATCTCTTCCAAATAATTCGTACGTAAGTGATATAGGTACTAATGTTATTCTTATTTAGTGTTGGTAACTTGACATTTTTATTAATATGACGTTTGTTATAAAATGAATATCTTTGAAATAATGAAATAACAATTACAATTAAAAATAACTACGTTATTAAATATTCCAAGCTTATATTGAATTTCTTTACACGGGAGCTATGTTTTTCTTTACGATAACGTAGAGTGAAACTTATAGAGAAGCTTACAGAGAACAGCTGGATAAATAGAGTAGATAAAACCCACAAGTTTTTACACTATATTACACTAATCATTTAAAACTTATATTGCTTGTAATTTAATTTAATTGATTCAAATTTTTTTATTAAATTAATTATTATTAATAATTAGTGATCACTTCATTAATTATTAGTCTGTTGTGATTATGGTTACATCAATAGTTTTCATGAATTACAGATACTAATTAGTTCCTAATCACTATCAATAATTGCTCTACTGGAATCCCGCCTCACTTCAAAAGATCTCGTTCCTTTAGCTATTGCTCCTATAATTGGTGTAATTATAATTTATCCGCTCTTAATAATAGCAAACAGGGGAATAGAATTATAATAAAATAAATTACTCATATTATTTAACTATTTTTGTAAACTCAAGTATTTTTTGTGTTGCAAATTGATATCAATATAAAAATAAGAATCATCTCAAAATATGTTCCACTATTATTTCAATATTATTTGTAATATGTAACATTAACTCTTCTTAGCAATTTCAACGCATGAAGCATTCTTTATACTATTTGCCTTCACAACCTACAGAAATATAAAATTCCCATACTATGATTTATTTATTTATGGGAACTATGCCAAAGGCATCATCAGGATTCTTAACACCACTTAACATTCAGCTATTCGTTAAGCACTACACACTTATCTACTACCTCTATCAGTAGTATTTCAATAGAGGCTGGTTGCCCATTTTGAAGATAAAACTAATAAGATAAATTGCATAAGAAATTTCCAGAAAAAACCTTGAATTGACTGGTGCATTTCCTTCATTAAAGAACATAATCTTTGAACTACTCGTTATGGGTACTTAGTCCTTCTTTCTTGATTTTAAATTTACAGAAACTCTTTTAAAAATCTGCAGATAATACTACCAATCGGAGTGAGTTTATATAAACCACCGCCTTATATTATATGTATAGAACAACTACAATTTTTACTGATGGATATAAATTAAATTTTTATACTTCTATTCAAATAACTACTCCTCAAAGAATAATTTCAGCAAAAATCCTTGAAACCGCTACCAATACTCTAAAATATCACTTCCTTTCACCCATCCAGTTACCCGCATATGAAATTAAGAGCTTTCTCTCGTTTCCAGTTGAAGACATTGTTAAATGACTCATAAGTATATGACAATCGCCTGATGTATGTTCTTGTAGATTTTAAAGCAGCCTTCGATAAGGTCTCTCGAAAGGCGTTAATTTACAAGCTTCATGCAGCTGAAGTCTCAACTAAAATAGTCCGTTTTATTGAAAATGTGTACTCGAACACTAAATGTGCAGTATGGACTGGAAAAGACCTATCTAATGAATTCTCAGCTGTCAGCGGAGTGAAACAAGGTTGTATATTATCACCGCACTTGTTTGTTCTTTATCTCAATGACTTACATGATTTTTTGGGAGGAGGCATACAGATAGAAGAACTAAACATTCGAACTTTAATGTATGCCGACGACATTGTCATACCGGCTGACGATATAATGACGCTGCCATAGTTGGAATTTAGAAGTCAATCTAAGTAAATCCGCAATTATAGTCTTTCGAAAAGGAGGTAGATTGGCAAATAAAGAAAAATGGTATCTCGGTGGAGAAGAAATAAGAATAGTGAATGAATACTGCTATCTAGGCGTCACATTGACTCCAACAATGAACTTTAAGAAGCATGTAGAGAGGAGAACTATTGCAGCTAAAAATAGTATAAATCTTACGTGGAACAACTTTCTTAGTATGGACGACATGCCTATAAAAGCAAAATGGAATCTATTTCTAGCAATAAGTAGAGCAATACAATCATATGGTGCTCAAGTATGGGGTTGCACTCTGTTCGAAGAGGTGGATAAACTACAATTATACTTCTTAAAGAAAATATTGAGAATGCCACAATTTACGCCAACATATATTTTAATGTTAAAAACTGAGGCGGAAGATGGAGATTTATATACCTTAAAATTGCTACATTTCTGAAAACTGATTTGAGCGACAAATATATAAGTAAATCTCAACAAACTAACCGAATATATAAAGACTTAACACCATCACTAGGAAAGGAATATATAGCTGACATAACACATATTAAAAATATCATCTGGATAATCAAAGCAAGAAGTAGCATGATACAGCTAAATGGAAACAGATTTGATATATACAAGTAGATCTGCGCTCTGTAGTATGTGTAATTTAGATGAGACTGAAAATATTCTGCATTTTCTTGGCCGTTGTCCTATTCTACAAGAGTTTCGATTAGCTTACTTTTGTAAAGCTATTCTATCTTATGAAAACATTATAAATATTTTAAACGGTTCTGAGGTAGAATGGCTAAAAGTAGCAGAATATGTAAAAAATTGTATATCATATCGAATTTATTTAATATCAGAATATAATAATTAATATAAAGTTTACTCATCTATCATTTATAATGTGTATATACTAATTATTATACAACTATTTTTAATACTACTATTACACTATAAGTCGACGGACGACATTGTGTCACAGTCGCTATTTTAATTATATTTATTTTTATATTTATTTATATATTAATTTAAGATACATCATAGTGGAAAAAGGAAATTTAAAATGAAAATAAATATGCATACATACATACATGTATATATTTAACCATCATTTATTATCAACATTCTTGCGCTTCATTATAGAAGCTCACAATCACACAACAAAACTTTAAAAAAATGTATAATTACATTTGTAAAATTAATTTTATTAATTATTATATAGTTCAGATAATAACCTTAAATTAAAATGTCACTACTGAAAAAGGTTTTTTTTATATTAAATTGCATAATAATTTATTCATATACGATTTTTTATAAATAAAAAAAATGGTATTATGGAAAAATAAGTATAAGTAAGTAATAATAATAAATAAGCATGAATAAGTAATGACAATTAATAGCTATTTATTATGTTTTCTGTTATTGGATTTTAATTCCCTACTTTTTCTAGTTAACTACATATATTATTTTCAGACAATATAGAGTAAATTGGTCAACGCAGTTCTCATTATCTAGTGTAATATTTCATGTTACAGTTCTTTTGATGAACTGAAATTGTACGGATGTTAGTGGGATCTCGTAACAATCACACTTGAAGTCCTATCTACTTAAAAGGTTTACTATAGAATTGATAAAACCTAATATGTCGCAGTTGACAATTAAAAATAATCAGGTAAGTTATGTTTCATGATCCACGTATGTATGTACAAATTACAAAATTTTTATATAAAATTGTTGCATGAAAATTAAATATTTTTAGCAAGAAAATAATCAACGGAATGGAAAGTCGGATTTCTTTAAAAATCTTTAAACAAATTAAAAATGAATTCAAATAATATATATCTTCGAAAAGTTAAAGTGAATTGACAATTACGAGTAGTAACTGAATTAACTATTTAAAGAAGATATTCTAAATATATAAATTTAATTGATTAACAACAATAATGTAATAAATATAATGAATTTAATATTTACTGACATGCATACTTATGAATACAAGGATATATACATAACATTTTATACAAAGCAAAATATCGTAAAAGAAAGAAAAAAAAGTATTAAGAAAGAAAAAAAGACCTTGAGTATGTGTGTAGTAAAACCAAACATATTTTTTAGAAAATCGCCCACGAAACATTTTCACTATTAGAAAATGTTAATTATTGTATGTAGTATATTTTTTGAATGAAATCCTTTTTTCGGTACATTATTTCATAGCATTCTATAATATAAAAAGAAGACCAATTTCGTTCAATTGGAAGTCCAATTTTCCATATTTTCTATAAATATATAAGACTTTAACTCACGTATGGTGCATTCAATGCTTGTTCCAAAACTGAAATCATATATATTTTGTTTTTATATAGACCTACGGCTTATAGTACTTCCCCGAAAAACGCCCTATAATCGATTAATCATACATTCTAAGAGGTCGTTCTAAGAGGTGCTACAAACTCATTTCCAAACATAATATAGTCACCTCTTATTTGCTTTAATAAATTGTTAATATAACAATAAAGAATGTGCAGCAGTCTCGCGTTATAAAGTCAAGTTGTCCTTAAGTTATAGCTTAAGTTATACATATTCACACATTAACAAATAAAATATTATCTATACCTCCACTAAAAGCAATTGACGGTGATATTTCAATTTTCTTCGCTTTTATTAGACAATTGTCACAAGTACAGTGTTTTTTATTCCATATGTGGTGTTTTTTTAAAACAAGGATTTCGGTCGTATTTTAATCACAATACATTAAATATTGCCTCAAAAATTTAAGGTGTTATTCGACAGATTAATGATGAATTAATTATTTGTTCTATTAAATAATGAATGTACTAAAAGAAAACCAAATATAATGAATAATCGCTTCGTTATAATGCGTTGTATTATGTATTTATTTTTGAATGAGATGTTCAAACGCTTTAAAGGATATTTTTCATGCCAACTTGTTTTCACAGTTTTGTTGAGAGTGAGATCAACGCCATACCTTCGTTCTCTCAGAGTATTGCTATTTCTAAGCAATTCATAAAATTAATAAGATCCCATTATATTAATATTTATTGCTATTAGTATTCATAATGTTCCAGTTCTTTCTAAGCTTTAATTACTTCCACTATCTTTTTCTAGATAACGTAATCTGTTGTTTGACAATATTTGTTCTTAAGTAAGAATATATAAAAAATTTGTATTAACTCACATTCTTTTTGGAACTATTTCTAATGCTTTTTAAATTGGTTTTTTATTTACAGGTTACAGAAATACGTATACCAGTTCCTTGGGGATACGTGGCAGGACGTTGGTATGGTGATGATTTAAAGCAACCAATTTTAGCTCTTCATGGCTGGCTCGACAACTGTGGTTCATTTGCTAAATTGGCACCAATGTTAGTACCTTATAGAAGTATATTATGTATTGATTTGCCTGGACATGGCTTATCTTCTCATTTGCCTCAAGGAATTCAATATCATACAATGGACTACGTGCATTTGATAACAAGAATTATGAAAATTTACAACTGGGACAAGATAACATTAATGGGACACTCAATGGGAGGTTATACTGCGTTCTATTTTACGTCTCTTTATCCAGATCGCGTTGATGGTCTCATTTGTTTGGATGCATTAAGAGAAATCAGTTACAGTAGACAAGAAATAGTACTTTCCTTGAACTATGTCATTGAGAAAGCAGTTATTGACACAAAAGAAAAACATCAAATATTAGAGAAAATCGAACCTCGCAGTTACACTTTTGAAGAATGTGAACAATGCCTTCATGAGGGATCGCTTGGTTCAGTTTGGTTGGAAAATTGTAAATACATACTTGAAAGGAATTTAAGTAGATCGAAAATAAATTCTAATAGATATTACATTTCTCGTGATAGTCGAGTTAAAGAAATACGTTTATTTGTATTTTCGGAGGAGATGAACAGAGAAATGGCAATGCGTATATGCAATGTATCATTGCCTTTGCTTCGATTTATTGGTGAGGAGAGTACATTTAATGCATCTAAGCCAACAGAAGTTGATGAGGTCTTAAAAGCGAATAATCCCAATTTTTCCACATATACAGTATCTGGTGGAACGCATCATATACATTTAAATAATGCTGAAGAAGTTGCTAAGATAATAATAGAATTTTTGAAAAAGTATTTTACACATAAGGGAAAGTTATAGTATTGCAAATACTATTAATCCTTACTTATTCAATACATAATTTTTAAAATGACATAATTCTTATTAAATATTTTTCTTTAATTGGGATGAGTAAATTACTGTACTAATTTGTAGTAGAAAAATATGTGCTTTAAAATTTAAGTGCCTGCTTGTAGACTTATGACTCTGACTGTATGTCATATATAAAAAATAATTGGGTACAGTTTATGTGTTAAAATATAAAATGTTTAAACATAAGTATTATTTATTTAAGCTGCAAATCAAAATAGACACATACATACAAATATGGTTACTAAATTATTTAAATTAATACATAATAATACATAATAATTCATTTATAAATATCTGAAATGACAGAAGTGTGCGTTTGCGCCTAAAAACAAATATAACAAATGTACAGTGACGAACAAAATTATTGGCACAGCAAGCAAATTGAACTTTAGAACTATTTTTATCCTGTTAATGATGCGATTTTTAAAAAACAAAAAATTTTTTTAGATAAAATGCTTAATTTGCTTTTCATTTTATTTCATTTTATTTTCTCTTGTATATAATTTTTTAAAATTAAAAAACCAAAAAAATAACTAAATAACTTACAATTAATATTTAGTGGCCAAGCTCTTTTATTTAATAATATTTACTATTTGTTTTGGAAAAAATCAATTTTTGTGTGGGTTTTGGTCCAAAATTTTGCCACTCTTCAGCAGTGACACCTTCAGTTCTGCCATTGTTGTTATAATGGGCTTCTACAATCGTGACCTACTAAAATTTCTAACAGTCTGTTTCCACTGCTTACTTAGTAAGTTACACTTACTGAGCAAATTTCTTAACCCTTCAAAGAGCTTCTTTGCTTTTTAACTTACTTAAAAATAATGCAAGGAAATGTAAATCCTAAAAATAAATTTTCTTCAAAAAAAATTACCAAAATTTAATATATATAAACCTTAAAATATATACTTTTTGGGAAGTAGAAGTTTTAATAAGAGGTGCATCATTTTCAAGAAAATGCAACCACCAAACATTTGTTTACCTTTTTTTTGTAAATATGTCAAAACTTTCTTTCTCAAACTGTCAAAATGCCATGAAGAGCTTGTTTTTAGGGTGCGTTCAATGTATTCCTTTGTATTTCGAACATGTTTGGAACGCATCCGAACGTAGTTGGGACGCATTCATACAGAATGTATTGAAATGGAATGTATTCGCGCTTGAAATTTTGTATGCAAGAATGATCCATTCGCTTCTCATTTTCGATTTTTGACCAATATATGCCATTTTCAGCCAGTGTAAATGCCGTATTACTTTAATTTAACTTTAATAGATACTTTGTAAAAATTTCAGTGCTATGAATGCAACGTTATGACGCTAAATATTTTAAAAATGATCAAGAAACTCAATCGTTTAAGTATCACACATTTATCCTATGATAACGTATGATAACATAAAAACTATAAAATCAATAAATTATAAATTATTTATTTATTATTTATTTAATTTCCAAACTTGTTTATATTCAGGTGATCTTTTAATGTTTTTGAACACTTCAGTTATAACTTATATGTATTTTCATATATATTAGGGGTATTCACTCTCTCTTGTAAACTCATTGCAAGGAGCACGAAATGCAAGAATGCTATACAAAAACTGCAAGACTGCGAGAACACCTCTGTTGCAGAATTGCATCATCAAAATGAATCAGCTGTATCAAATTGTGCAAAGAAAAATAAAAGTATAACAATGCCGCGAACAAGTGTAATACAAAAATGTATAGATTTTTTTATTGAAAATAGTGCTTTTAATATTCTGATTGAAGGTATTAACATGTTGTTAATGTAGTTTTCACTACTGTATAGTTTTTATTTGTTAGATGATGCAAATTACTGGGAAGTGATGGAGCAATTAAATGAAGACCTTGTGTTTACTTTAGTAAACCATCACAGAAATCACCAACCCGTACCAAAATCTATTCAATGAAGATCTACCATTCTTCAAGAATTTGATGAAGGCCGTTTTCGTCAGATGCTTAGAGTAAATTGGAACGAATTTTTCTTAATAGTCTCACTAATAAACACTGGCGCGGAGTTCACTAATTCACATTCAATTCAACAATTCCCGCTCGATCTTCAACTTGCTATTGTTTTATATCGTTTGGGTTCATCAGGCGAAAATGCGGCTATTCGTAAAGTCGCTACATTATTTGGTGTTGGAGATGGGGAAACAATTTATAAGATAACCCGAAGAGTCTTTCGCTCCATATTGGAGCTGCAAACTAAATTTATAACGTGGCCAGATGTAGCTGAACGACAAGATATAGTGGAGAAAACCTATCATGAGCTTCCACATTGCATTGGATATATTGACGGTACTGAAATAAAACTTGCCGAAGCACCAGTGGTTAACCATACATCCTATTTTTCAAAAAATAGAGTGTATTCAATAAAAGCACAAGTCGTATGTGACTATCAGCTGAAGATTCGACATGTCGCAGTTGGTCATTTTGGAAGTGTACATTATGCTCGCATGTTTCGTACAAGCGCTCTCTGTATCCTCTTTAGAACAATGGTTAGCAGGCGATTCTGCTTATCCATTACTTAAAACTCTTATAACTCCGTTTCGGTCAAACTCCCAACAGCTTGACTACTCCAAACGTAAAACTTTTAACTTACGCCATAGCAGATTTCGTGTAAGGATTGAACATTGTTTTGGACTTCTGAAGGAACGCTTCAGTAGTCTTAAGGAGTTGAGAATCCGTATTCAGAATGATACGAGTCATAATTTTTGTTCAAATTGGTTCCTTGTTTGTTACATATTGCACAACATTTTGCGACCTTCATGTGATGATATGACAACGACGAAGAATCTGATGAGCTTATTCAGAATGAAGCTAGTCAGAGAACCAATGAAGGAGTTTCGTAGCGCAAATTTTTGTATAATTTAATGGTTGGCAATCAATAAAACATACATATATGTATATATATTTAATATATAATTAAGAAGTCAATTGCGACATTCCTTTTTTCCAATAGGCTTATTTCAAGACAAGAATAATGTATAAAAACGTATTTATATATTAATATCTGTAATAATAATATAATATAAAAATAATTAGTATAATAAAAATATAACTAATTCTTAATTTATTATTGTTATTTGTTATATTTTTTATCGAGGGGGGTAGTGGGGCTTTGCCCAGCAGAACGCACGACTTTCGGTGCAGAGCTGGATGTTGTGTGCAGACGATTCAATAAAAAAAACTTCGTCGCCTAGCGCAGAACTAGTTGGTGGCTGTGGCAATGTGTCCGTACAAAATTAGACATGCGTCCAAACACTTCATTCAATAGTTCAAAATGTAAACAAATTTTCGTAAGTTTCGCTGAAATTGATAAATAGATAAATTAATACACAAATGTATATGTATATAATATTATATTTGTGAAAACTTAATTAATGGCTACATCGATTTAAATCATTGAACGAAACGCATGTATATAGCATAGCCATAGATTAACATATCTCGAAATTTTACTAACCGTCAATTCAAATTTAAAAATGAGAAGCAACAAATGTCAAAACAGCTGATTTCTGCCATTTCTGTTTTGTTGCAAGCAAATATACATAGGTTTTAGTATTGGAAGATTGCACGCAATTGCACGAAATTTTGTGCGTATATTTTGTTGTTGTTATTTGCATTCTCGTACAATCTGTGCATTTCGTGCACCTTGCAATGAGTTTGCAAGAGAGTGTGAATACCCCTATTATGTATGTATATAATGAATGTGTGAAGAACGATATGTGAGAAATAATAGTTATGGAACAGTTTTTAACAATTTTTAATATTAAAATATCTGAATATTTTTCTGATACGGATGGATATAAATTATATATACATATATATGTATGGTGAGAGCATAATATATATATATTTATATGTACTATTATATTTAGTTTATTTAACATCACATCTAAATTAGCTAAACTTGGGAAGATTTTTGTAAACACTTCTATCTGTATTTCAATGATAAATATCTTAATTGAGATTAGAAGAAATATATGTTTTTGTTATGATAATTAATACTTTGTGAATTACATAAATATTGATTTTTTACTTCCAAATAAGCAGGTTATCCGTTTATGGTGCGATTTTAATTTCTAGGATGAAATAATTTTCAAATTTATTCAAAGTGTAACTATTATTAATTTAAAATAGAGTAAAAAATAATAATCCACTCACCTGAAATCCACTAAAGCTAATAAAACTGCTGAATGCCAGTCTTTATAGTTATAATAATCAACTTTTAAAATTTCCCAGTTACAAATGGTATTTGAAGCATGTAATTTTTAACATTCGATTTGTAAACAAAAAACATATGATTTCCTTAATTTGGGTCACTACAAACACTTTTGAAATTAACTTAATTTAATTTTTACGAAATTAAGGAAATTAAGCTTACTGAACATAATAGTGCCTATTATGAATTGTCGATCGCTGATAGTCATTTTCTACTGCTGATAGAAAAATTCAAATTTTGGTATTATGAATTGCAAACCGATAGAAGTTTTTCTATCAGCGGTAGAAAAATTTCTCTACTGCATTTGAGCAGTAGAAGTTTTTCGATCGTATAAAATAAATGCTGTTAAAACGCTTTATACAGTCAATTTAACATATAAATTTAATATAATTTTAATGTCACTTATTTAATATTTAGTAATAATTCATTTAGATTTAATATAATATAGTATATCATATAATATTAATATTATTATTTAATATTATCATTTAATATCTGGTTTCAAGTGTAATGTGTTATGTGTACATTGAGTATAACGATTGTTGCATTTTTTTGTTCTGTTATTTATTTATTTATATTGTTATTTATTTATTATGATATATTTTTCAACGAATAATGTATTTATATAAAATTAAGAAATAATAAAATTAATAAATTTTGTTGTAGGGCAAAATTAATAAAAATAAAAATAAATAAATAAAAAGCAGATAGTAAAACTTGTTGCAAATATGGAGAAATATCCAAACATTGCGAAAGACATTTGCAACAAGTCACATTCCAGACCACCGTGGGCGAAAATTGCTATAGAGCTTAATAACTTAATAGTTCAGCCGCCTAGAAAATATTGAAAACATTTTAGTGAAGGGAGGCAAGAGTATTGTGACCAAAAACTTACTGTAATACAAGAAAAATTAAAATTGGCTGTCGAAAATACCGACAACAGATATAAATATCGGTCTGTTAAGCTTCAAATGCTTAAAAATATATGAATTTTACTAAATTAATTTAATATACATGTAATGTAAATATAACTACAAATTATAAAAATATTAAAATTAATATAAAAAAATATAAACATACTTATTTTTAGAATATTAAAGCTTAATTTTAATATATTACTTTTGTTTGTTAATGTAATGTAATATTAAATAATAATTGCGTATTAATAAAATATATTTTTATTTAATTGAAAAAGAATTTGAATTCAATTTTAATGTTTCTTAGCGAATACACAACAAACAAACTAACAAAATAAGTTCGATTAAAGCTGCACGCTCTAAAACCCTGATATCATTCACAATAGTGCACATGTTTGTCTATCAAGTTTCATAATACCAAATTTGCTTACCAATCGACTAGATAAAAGTATATCGTCTATCGGTAAAAGTTTCATAATAGCAGCCACTAATATAAGCTTCAAGCAAAAAAGTTTTGCAAGCTGCTTATTAAGTGTATGGGTACTATTACGTTCATTATACGTACGTAATTGGCATAACAACATAATTATTTAGAGTTGGCAACTCTACGTTGTTTTTAATCTGACATCTACAAAATGACAATTGTTGTTGGAATTCCGTTTGGTTTTCAAGTGTCAGCATTTTGATAAAACTGTTTATTGTTGGTGCGCATTAATTCAGTGATACAAAAAATTATGCGGGAAAATATACCAAGGCGAGACCCAGAAATAGAGGATGATGATTTTGATGAAATGCTATTAGTAGAGGAGGAAGCATTTTTTGAAGAACATGAAATGGAGGAAATATACATTGACTTATTAGATCAAATCCCAAATCTCAACGATGGTGGAGAAAGTGATGAAGAGAGAGAAAAAATTGCTATAGAACATAATTCTATTTTAAGTTTTGCTAATCATAATTCAACTGTGCACTCCTGCGATCTACATCCTCATCTTAAATTGGCGATTACCAGCGGAGAAGACGACAGAGCGTTTTTATGGAATACTAAAGACGGACAAGTTTTACAGTGCATTTCGCTACATAACGACAGAATAACGAATGTACACTTCAGTCCTGATGGCACATATTTAGCAACAGGTGATAGCGCTGGTAAGCTTTTTGCTTTTAGTGTATTAACTCCTCCGGCTGATGAGTCAGAATATTATGTTCCTCTTCAATGCGTTTGGCAATACGCAATGGGTGATGAAATGACTTGGTTACGCTGGCATCATACTACACAAACGCTATTCGCTGGCGGAGCTAGTGGTGATGCATTTATGTTCTGTATACCAAGTGGTGATGTGAAGTTATATCCCGGCGAAAAAGAACGCTGTATAGATGGTGCAATTACACATGATGGTGATAAATTGTTTCTCTCATATACCAGTAAGATAAAATTATGGAACATAAAAATGTGTTGTGTTCTACACACCATATGTAAGCTTGATTCACCATATAGAGCAGTCGCGTGTCACAAATATTATCCTATATATGTTTCTGGTGGATTTGATGGTAAATAGTTATGTTCAATTTTACAAAAAAAAAAAAATAAACAATAATTATCATTAAGGTGAAGTCTTGTTTTGTAATAATAATGGCACTGTTGGTGCTGTACAAGCTATCGGGCGCGCTGTATCTGCCGCTTTTTCACCATCCTCAGATTTAAATTTAGTTGCAACAAGCACATCGGATAGCCAAGTTCAAGTGTGGGACTGGTCTATATATGCCTTGCATTCGTCGTGCGAAACGAAAGAAACAATTACTCAGTATGTACAAAATGTATATTAATAGAATCATTTCATTTTTATTTTTTTTTATCTTCAGCTTGGAGTGGTTAAATGAACATACTTTAGCAGCGGCTACCATAGACGGCAACATCTTTGGATACGATGTGCGTACTGGCTCTAAAATCTTTAAACTAAGTGGACATGTAGCTGCAATACATCATTTTAAATATAAAGCATCGGAAAATATTATCCTTACTGCGTCAGATGATGCTACAGCAAAAATTTTTACTGTACCGATCTAAATGCATACTAGACATCATCTAAATAAGATTTCACCAAACTATTTGTTAATAACCATTTTTACATATTTTTTTTCTTTTTTTTTCTTTTTTTTTCTTTTTTTTTCTTTTTTTTTCTTTTTTTTTCTTTTTTTTTCTTTTTTTTTCTTTTTTTTCTTTTTTTTTCTTTTTTTTTCTTTTTTGTATTTGAAGTCGAATTTTTTTTGTTATCTTTTTGTTCTTGGTTCCCTGAACAAACGTTGTACAAATCTATTTAGCGTTAAAAATGTTATAGATTGTTTGGTGCAAAGAGTCTGTTTATGATATTAGAAAGAACATAATTACTGTGATTTTGTAAAAGATTTTATAGATTTAAGAAGAGTAATATATAAGCGTGGTACACGTGAACAAGCAATTTATTGATAAAGTTGGAAGTAACGTCACTTATGTTAATTTGTAATTCAGTACAATAATACTGAATAGTAAAATACTTTGTATATAAACGAAATGAAAATATTTGCTTTATTTATTTTTATACTGTAAAGATTTCACATTCGTGAAATTTATGGCAGTATTTTTCTCTTTAAATTGATAAAGTATAATTCAAGAAATGCATCATTTGTAATTTTAAAATATTTTTTGTATATTGAAATTTCAAATTTTGATGTTTTTGAGTTTATGCATTTTGAAATAAAAACAAAATAAAAATAAATTGTGTTAAGTATAGTTAAAAATATCAGAATGTAAATATAAAATGTTGCTTATTATATACTTATTATAAGAATCATTGTTTTTATTTATCTAATAATAAAAATATAGAATTTACAAAAATTAAGGACGTGTGCGAGTTAGGCTAAGTTGATGCTAAACCAAATGGGAGATTTTTTGGGATTTTTTGCACTGCACACATTTTGCCATTTATCAACACGTATCGACACATCAATACATTATCGACACAACTTAGAATTTCCCTCATTTAGAACGCAACTTAGCCTAACTCGCACACGACCTAAGGTGCTAATTTTTCTTTATTTTTCAAATTTCTTTTATTTTTCGAAGTTTTTCATTTCTCTGGTTAGTGCCACTGCTCTTGAAAAGAAAACGGGAAAAACGAAATTTCTTCATTTTAATTTGTAAAGAGCACTACATTGAATCTGTCTACTTAATCAAAATTACTGACGTTCTATTTGAATAGGTCGGAACTACGAGTATGGTCAGTTCGATTAAATCCTTGAGTGTTGTATAGAAGAGAAAGTTTTCCTTAAAACACATATAGCCCACCAACCAGCCCACATGTGACCATAGACCTTGTGCGAGTGCGAGTAAATTAATGGTAAATTGAGGGAAATAGTAAATTATGTCGGTATGGCAGCGAATGTTGGTATTCACCAAAATTTCGAGTAGGGTAAATTAGATAAAAATTAGGTGTTACCATTGTGTAAATTTTGTAAGATGTTTGTAAGATATATAAATAAATAAATTTGAAAACTTTTAACCAAAAATAATAAATAAATACAATAAATAAATAAATAAATATTTATGTAAGTGCAGTGCAAAATATCCCTAGGAAGTTTCAATTTATTTTATCTCAATTTACTCGAATTTGCACACGGTCAAAGTAAATTATTATACCTTACGGTCGTGGTTTTATTTCATTCAAAGTATGATCTATAACAAATATGAGTAGCATAATCTAAATGATGTAATTTTTGATGAGGACATCAGCTAATACCTTCAAAAGAAGCTACGTGGGTCTTTGATAGCATAACGTCTAGTACTGTCATAAATATCAGAGCCTTACGAAACGTCATGAATGATAACAAATGGTGGGCTAGTTTTGCATTTGTAGCATATATTACAATTTGCAATTTATATATATATATATTTTGAATAAGCTCAATGATTTTAATTGATAAATCGTTGCATTTTAAAGTGTACCATATGACACCTTATATTATTAGACACTCAAGAAAGTAAGTATATTAGTAAACTAAAAGTTAAAATATATTTTTTGGTACATATATTTAAAATCAATCTTTGATTTTGAAAAGACAAATACTGTTCTATATGATGTAATGTTTGCGTTCTGAAAATACGCATTTCTTGCTTTTAACGAGTTTTTAGTTCAAGGAATTATTTTCTATTATATTTTCACCATTATATTGATAACGGTAATAACTATTAAGAATAAATAAACATGTACCTAGACTGAACTGTAGACGTATTGAAGATGAAAGCGATTTACTCGGTGATCAACAAAAAATGTGTTATGTGCTAATAGTCCTAGTTTTATTGATTTAAACAGAAAGCTTCAGAACGTTTAAGAAAAAGAAAATTTTGGTTCTTGGTAAATCGAACCATATATAAATGAATAAAAAACGCATTTCAGATTTCATTCTTCTTCTTTTCTCTAATTAACAGATTACCCGTTAATATTGTTCTAATTTTAATTATAATTTGCTTATTTTGAATATATTTTCATAGAATGTATTATTTGAATTTGTTGAAAAAAAAAGTTATTACAACATGTAAGACTTTTAACATATATAAAAAATTAAATATAATATTTATAATATATAATATTTATATTATATTTATTTAACTTATTTAATTATTAATAGAATTTCATTGACCTATATCCCGAAAAATAAGCACCACAAAATTTTTTATTTTCGTTGATGGTAGATCTTTAAATTAACTGATAAATCGTGATAAAAATATTCAGAACACTAAAAACATATGGAATTTAATAGATCTGAATATGAGTTTTTCATAATCTGTAACTTGCCGAAATCTGGATATTTTTGTTAAAGTAGACAATTGTACTTTAAAACCCAAAAATCGAAATAATTTCTCGTTTGTATATAGTATATTATTATAATTATTACTATGAAGATGTTATGTGGTCAATTTAATTATGTGATCACTTAGAAAGTATTTTTTAATTATTTTGTTTTACTAAACACTGTGGTGCAGGATCATCCAGTTATCCGAAGTAGTTTCGAAGTCGAATTCAAAAATAGAATATTAACAAAGTTTAGCACAATAACATAAACTGATAATACAGACTTGAAAACTTAGTATTTATGGTGTAGTGTACTTCGTACTTCGTACACTGTATTCTTTAATTTGTAACGTATAATAACATTATTTTTTAACCGATTTGTTTGAAATTTAAAATATAAGCAAATTAAATACTTATAGAGTAATAAATGTTGTTATATTAGGTTGATTGCACTGGCAGACCAGCAGATAACTTTCCATTGATCTTAATTAGCGATTTTTTGCCGTTTTACAACCACATTTATCATAAAAACCTTTAAAATAGAAAGATACACAGTTAATCCGTCTTTTCGAATTTAGATTATTAAATAGATATTTCGTCTTTACCAACGAACAGTCTAATAAGCTATCAAAAAAGTACTACCTATTTCTTCTGGATGCCAAAGTCGGGCCGTCACAGAAATAATGTTCAATGGTTTCTTTTCCCTGTAGGTTTCCACAACATCTGCAATAAGTATTATAAGGAATGCACAGTTTCTCTGTATAGGTTCCTATCAATGGCCCTAGGGAATTGAAGTAAGCCTGTATCCCATTTAATAAGTTCCTAGAGCGATTCTTATTGTTATATTAGTACTTATTGATTTTTTTTCGGTGATTTGTTGGCCCTGAAACAGGTATAAAACATAAAGTGCATGAACAATTTATTTTTTTTTATAATTGGCTATTTTTTATATTTTATGTAAAAATTTTTGTTTAAAGTACGCCCAATTTTTGCAAAATCTCAATTTCGCTAAAAGTTCATAAAATTGCAAATAACTTAAATAAAGCTGCATTTATATGTATTTAATAAATGTAAAATTTTATATAGAGAGTAGTGTTACAGTTGGGGAATATAATGAAACACTTTGGAACTTAGTAATATAGCATAATTATTTAGTACATCAAATTTATTTTTCTATTATTATGAATACCTTGGTTTGAAGAGGTTCCGGTAAGTCGATTGCGCTTAAAATGCAGCCGAAAAAAGCCTATCTCAAAAACCTTATTAAAGAAAAATTTTATTTTTAAAGATCTCCGCAGATTTAAAAAATACAAATTTTTTTTCGTCTAATTTTAAGTTTGCGACACTGTGCAGCGGTATCAAGATAGATCAAATCCATGATAGCTTTGTAGCTTAATACCAACAATCAGCTCGACCTCCAAATGACGCATATATCTGCCAGTATCTAATGTATACTTTCTGTGGCTCTCATTTACCGTTGAATCCTTTTAAAGAAAAAGGTGCAAATCCATAACACAAAGATTTATGTGCCTATACACTATTCAATGTAAACTTTCTAAAAAAAGAGTTTTCATCTTAGATGCTATCGATTACTTCTTCTGATATATTGCAACTATTAATCATGCCTAATCATAATTCAACTCCTTGGTCTCTAATCGAGAGTTTAAATTGTTCTTTAAATAAAAATCTAAAAGTAACTATTACTGTAGTAATTGTACCTTTCTTGTAAATCTGTTAGAAGGTCTTAACCTGTAATGGGCCTGTCATATGCTTATTCATCCTTTAATAAAATGACAATCTTAAACTACAACTGCTACTGTAGTACTCGTGCTATATTTCATATAACTGTCATCGACTTAACTCGTCAATCTGTCAAAAAGTCTCAACCTATATTGGGACTATCACGTATTTATCATATCCTTTATTACTACTCAGCTTTGTTGACGATAAACATTTTTTTCTATTTATGTGATACAAAATTTTTGTTAATTACAATTTTGTTGACAAATTATCAAAAAAAAAAACAAAATAAAAATAAATTAATTTTTTTTATTTTTTCAATAAGTATTGACGTCATGAACTCAACACCTAAAAATAAATTAGGAAACGCTGCATTTTGTTCTTTTTTGTGGTGCCTAAATGGAAGTGCAAAGCATTGCAACGAAAGTGGAAGAGAAAAGCGGAAGTTAATAACAAAGAGGAAGCGTATGCATAGAGTAGCACGTGCAAAACGAGACAGAAACGTGATACAAAATGAAATGAAAAAAATGTATTTGTCTACTGCTTATGCTTATCCATAGCGTGTATGGGAATGCTGAAATGGGGGGCCAAACAAACGTCATTTCTAGGTTA